TTTTTTTTTTTTTTTTTTTTTTTTTTTTTTTTTTTTTTTTTTTTTTTTTTTTTTTTTTTTTTGTAAATTTATTCATATATGCAGCCAATGGCTCTTGTTGTATTTAAATTCATGTATTTCCAACTAACTAAATCAGTTATTACCATAAATACAACCATAGTAGACTCCAAATTATGAACAAAAATTAGGAAAGACAAAAAAGAGCAGATTGAAAGCTCAGTTACATCTTTGGAGTCGAGAAGATTGATTCTCGATTGGTCAGAAGGAGCAGATTTGGACATCTGCAAAATAAACCATAAGGGACTTAAAAAAGTTAAAAGGGGGCTCTACCATCTTACTCATTCACATAAAATTGATAAATACCTCAATACAAACTTATTTCCAAATGTACCTTAGAAAGACCATCAGTGAGGGACATAACCCGCGCACCAGCTGGTGGTATAAGTGGCTCAGGAACCTACAATTAGGATAAAAATTGAGGACCATTTCCAATAGCACAAGTATCATGATATCAGGTAGAGTAAGGGCAAAAATCCACCTTGAAAATGTTCCCGCCTCTCCTGCATAAATTAGATGAGTACAAGTAGTCAAATAACCTTTTTCCCATTTGCGCCCCCCACAAATTTTGTGTGGGATGTAGACAGAAATAGTCCAATATGAAACTTAGTTGATTCTCACCCTCCTAATTTCTTCCACTTCCTTCCACCATATAGATAATTAACACGCTCAGCCAGCTCACGAGTCAACTCAAGATGCTGCTTTTGATCCTCGCCAACAGGGACAAGGTCTGACTGCGGAGATGTTTTTTACAAATAACATTAACTCCTTATACTACTTTTTATTAGGATAAGAAACATTTCATTTATAAGATGAAGTTACAAAAGAAAAGGGGAAAGTAAACCCTCACCAAGGGAAATTACACGTATATACTCCTTGCAGTTAGAGTAACAGGCTTAAGAACATCTAAAATTTTACCCGATTCTAAATGAGTTATGCATCATCCATGAAATAGGCAAAAAATAAGAATATATATTACAATGGAAATACAACAGGATGCTAGATAAACATATGATGTAGAATTAAGCATTTAAAACATGAGGTTTCATCAGAAATAATTTGCAACCAAGGAACGGCCTAGTAAGATTTCTGAGTGGCTATTGTTAATGAAAATACAAAATAAATTTCACCTTGAATAGAAATTTTACAAATTAATACACAAAGGTTGCATGTTGGAGAGACCACCTGATATAGAAGAATATCAGAAGCCATTAGAACTGGATAGGTGAGAAGTGCAACGCCAACATTGTCATCCCCCTACAAAGTCCAAACCAGGTCAGCAGTATCAGATGCCAATCTGAATTATTAAACCAAGGAAGGATGTTTGATGATATGAAAAGGTACGTTGAGGTTTGAGAAACCACTTCCCAGTACAAACATGAATAAAACATGATGACTAACATAAGTTTAGCGCAAAATAGTTGATAATGTTGAAGACATAAAAATTTCCTTCCCATATTCCAAAAAGGGTATAATTGCTAGCTTTTAATTTCTCTTTCTTTTCAGAGAAACGTTACTTTCAGCTTTTGGGCTTTGTAACAGACAAACTTTAAACAACAATGTACAGATAATAAATACAACTCATAACATCTCAATGAGAGGTATGGAAGTCTGTCAATAAGAACTTCCTAGACCTTGCAAACCTTCCACTGACAAGGTCTCAACATATTTCGTGCTATGAACAATAAAGACTTGAAGAAAACATCCATTTTTCCATAAGAAATGTAAGCAAGTAATTTATAAAAGAAGACAGAAATATCATACAGCCATAAACGCACCGCCTTGCGTGATTTCTCCTTAAACTGAATCATCCTGTTCAGCCAACCAATTGGGGCAGCTGAACTAAGAAGCCACATCAGCTCTACATGAGCACGGACATGAGACTGAACGAAGACAGAAGCCTGCAACATAATGCACTTTAATTTCATTCATACATCTCCCACAGCTATAGACATTCTAAATGCTTTACACAAGAACGGCATAAAAATTCCTTGTGAGAGACGCATGCGCACACACATATAAGTTTCACATATCTAGTCATTGACACACACAAACGCCTACACACCGAACCTTGGAGGTATCTATACCACATGCTAAGTAAATAGCCGCTGTATTTCTTGTTGCTTTACTTAGTTGTTGGGTATCATAAGGTAAGGTGATCTGGAAACAACGAGAAGAGTAAATTAACATGTAAGCTACAATTGTTAAGTAGTGGAAAAACCCAAAGATTGTTACAAAAAAATTCCTAATAGAAAATAATATATCCTATAAGATTACAATTACACTTAATCTTGGCAATGAACACTACATCTTAAAACTATATTTGAATGATAGACATTGCAGTTACAACCATTCATTTAGAAACAATGAGAAGAGTAAATTAACGACGTTAGGTAGTGGAAAAACCCAAAAATTGTTATAAAAAATTCCTAATAGAAAATACTATATTCTATACGATTACAATTACGTTTAATCTTGGTAATGAACACCACATCTTAAAATTATATTTGAATGATAGACATTGCAGTTACAACCATTCAGTTTTTAGACAACCTCCAAATTTACTACTACTAGGCTCCATCAAGACGCCTTTGCCTTTCTAGTTGAACATAAAACTAAAGCCTCCTTTAACCAAGATGATGTGCCCCATTTGAAAAGAGTATATGTGGATTATGGAAAGAGTGCTTAATTCGTTTAGAACATTTTAAATTAGAATAACAATGATAAAAATGGGACAACACCTTGCATCTCCCAATTGGCAAGGTGGGATATAGTAAAAAAACAAAAAAATAAATAAATAAAATAAAAAAGAAAACTAGCATTATGTCTCTTTCAATTGCTTGCTCACAGACATCAAAACAGCACCTTTGGTCCTTTCCACCCCTTAATGGTTTCCTAACACTTTCATCAATTTCTTCAAGAAATAGAACTTCTTGTACTAACAGTTCAGATCATTTGTAAATACGTACATATAGAGCAAATCACACAATTTATTTGATGGCCACTCAGAAAACAAATGATATCCTAAGTTACAACAAGATAACTACACAAAGGATAGACATTCTGCCATAGTTACCCTGTGGCATTAAACGAAGGAAGCCAGAGAATAAGAATATGTGCATAGTTCACAAACATGAAAATATCAATTGTCTTAACATACCGCATGAAGATCCACAATGAAGAAGAGAGTATCATATGTGTCCTGCAAAACATAGCATGAAATGAACAGGGTAATTTTACAACAGTATGTGTGAACGGAGACATTTTAAGTTTTTTGGGGAAAGTTGTAACATCTGGAGTTTTAAGAAAATAATTTTTTNAAAAAATCAAAAAAAAAAAAAAAAAAAAAAAAAAAAAAAAAAAAAGAAGGAAAGAAAATGGCACACACGTAAGTTGGAGAAGACGATTGTACAATCAATGGTTAGTTTCTCGAGCCTAATAAGTATACACTCCTAGAGTAGAAGTGTATAGAGTTGTATCCATAAGCCTTATTGGGCAAAAATAGACTAGAGTCAAGTTAATGGCTAAGGATTATAGTTGAGCATATAGCCTAAGTATATGTTATAAAGTTTAAGTATGACAAGAGCCTACAGGTAGGTTGCTTATTGAGGTTTTTAATGCTCATACCATGTTATTCTATTTTTTTCAGATGGAATGTACACGAGCTGTGCAGCTGCAGGAGGTGCCCATTAGATTGAGTCGTCTTTCCTTCTTGTCATTTTATTATTAATTTAAATGCTGCTTCTCGGAACTTATGTACATTTTGTTAACCGTTTTGACTTGACTTTGCGATTTTTTTTTTTTTTTTGTACCTCTAAAGTACTTTTACGTTGGTTTTGAATACATATTTGAATCTTAAATTTTTTATGTCTCCCACTTTACCAAAAAAAAAAAAAAAAAATTACTGCCCTTTTTACCTTTGAGTGTACGTGGCAATATGTGATTTGAGGCATCGAAAATCAGGTCGTTACAAAATTCATGAAAAGATAGCAGGTATTGTAAAGAAAAAGAAAAACAAGTCATGCACCGCAGTTGGTATTCAAATTTTATCGTTGCTTATATGTGGGGAGCATGAATGATGGTGAGTTCGAAATAAATTTCTCAAGTTATTTCTCAAAGGATTATTAGAGCTAACAAGCTTATACCTCGTCTATGCATATAGGCACGAATTCTTGTTTTTTATTTTTTCCCCTTTAATGGATGAATCATTAAGAACCTAAACCTAGATTCAAGGTTCTGAGTATGTTTCCGTAGTTCAAGGAAGCAGGACAGTCACCTTCCAAGGTATTGATTTAACATGTTCACGATAAGAATGAAACCTGTCTTTGGCCAGATGAGTTTTCATTAAAATAAATAAATAAAAAGGAAAGATTTAGGCTACTTAGGTATAAGTTAAAGAAGTCGCATACAAGCACCGAACCTAACTAACCTTCACTACTTCAAAAGCTGCATTCAAATGAAGTTTTCCAAGGGGCTACACATAAAAGAAATCTACCAAGTGTTTGACAATCCCAAACAAGGAAGGCAGACAATACAAACAAAGCAAGAGATATAGTTGAAAAATTATTCATAAGGCCATGTACATATGGGAAGTAATGTAAACCTGGAGCGAAATCCAATTCTTTATTGCACCTAGATAATTACCAAGATGAATAGAGCCTGTTGGCTGAACACCCGATACTATCCTCTGCCTGGCAAAACAATTCTCAACTTCGTTTAATTGCACGACTGGGCATAGCATATTTATTCTATACTCAAAGCATTCAAAAGCATCCATAAAGCAAAAGGAGAACGGTAAACAAGGGAGCAACGAGTAATCAGGAGTTTTTTTTTTTTTTTTTTTTTTAATGAGAATGTGAAACGAAGAATATTAGCAATGCTGTTTAATTCATCCAAGCAAATCGGTGTCGACAATTTTAGTCTTATACTGGACATACTATCATTTCGATGCCACAAATCTGAGGCATCTACATTATACATAGGCGTTATGAATCTCAAACTTCAAAAGTGCATAAATCAGAAATTTTCTTAGGGCAAGCGATTCTGCTATAAAAGTTATCATCCAACCATACAGCAGTTTAACGGTCATTTCCAAACCAGCCGTTATCTAGTGTTTATCCTATTGCTTTTGCAAAGTTCCGCAGGCAAATGTAGAATTAACGACTTCAAAATCTATACAACTTGACGAACACAATGAAGCCTAAAAAACACGATAGCCTCAATTTTCGATCCACTACCAATACTTCATACCATAAAAACGTAAGAAATTCGAGGTCGAGTATAATAAATGCAGTAAAAGTATAAATTACTTGATGGAACTGGGAGGACGCTCTGACGCAGCAGGTTCGGTGACGGAGATACTGCAACAGCATTGGGAACTGTTTCCAATTGAAGACCGATGAAGCCGAAAGAGCGAATGAGCCTTGGAGCGATTGCTTCCAAACGCAGAAAATGATCTGCTGGAAAGCTGAATTCAACTTAGAAGTGCCAAAACTGTCCCAAATTTCCCTGCATTTGAAACTGCGTGCATATGTGTGCCAGGAAGAGAGCGAAGAAAGGAAGAAGTACGTACAGAGAAGGTGTAAAGCGAGGAGACGACTGTGAGAGGACGAGAAAGTGCGAGAGAAGGGAGCGACCCATCCTCGTTTCTGTTCGTATCATGTTATCTGTGGTCTTTGACTCTTCCGCTCTTCAAACCTGCAGAGTTCGCGGATGAGGTCCGGTACTGGTAATTTTATATTCATGTTCGCGTGAGTTTCACGCGCTTGTGATTTTACTGATTTACCCGCGGATGGAAATTTATATTGGAATTCTAATATTAACTTCATGCTAAAGTATTATTAACTAACCTTTTAGAAAATTAATTTTAATTTTATACCACTTTTTATTTTATTGAGTAAAATATTTTATTTATTTAAAAACTACCCTGTTTAATACACATGTAATTTTAATTTTGTGTTTAATAAATTTATTATAAATTTAAAATTTTAAGAATTAATTGATTTATTATAAATATGAAGGTTAAACTTGTAATTTTAGGTTATATTTTACAAATAAATTTGTAATTTAATATATTCTTAAATTTATTTTTTCCTAAAAAGGAGGGATTCTTCATAAACCCCTAACGAAGGGGACCTGTCCAGCCGGTTTGGGACTTTCTGCTCCACGAGGCGTGGAACTGGAAATACTCGCTCCAAAAATCGAGTAGCAGCAACAGTAAGAATGGAGCGTTTCCGCCGGAGAGACAGACAGATGTTTTCTGGGTTTACGAAGGGCGAGGTAGGATTCTCATTCATTTCTCTGGAATCTGAGCATGTATTTGATTATATCGGTGTTGATGGGTTTACAAAGTCAAATTATAATTTTCGAAGTACGGTCTCTCACCGCCCATTTTGCTCAGGGCACTTTGTTTATCCTGTCCGATGATCACGCTGATTTTTTTTTTCTTTTTTTTGCTTTTGGGTTCAAATGGAGGCCACAATCAACTTCTTTTGGCGTGTGAACTATTGCATAATTTGTAGTCTTACGTCAATAGAAATGATAAGTGAATGGGCTCAATTTCATTTTTCGACTGCTTCTCCTGCCTCGTGCGATATATTTCATTACCAATTAGGAAGGGTTATGTGGAATCATTTCACATCCAACATTTCAAGCATTAACTTGTCCTTGTACCAAAAGCTTACGTTGGGGCACAGTTAATCTTTTATTTGAATTTATCTAGCTTTGAAAGGTTGAGACGAGAGAGAATTATAAGTTAGGAATCAACTATTTTCTACCTATCTTGGAAAAGGATGACCATGTCAATATCTTCTACCTCAAAGATTTTAGGAAATGAATTCTAGGAAATGAATTCAAGCCATGGTGACCACCTATTTAGGGTTTAATCACCATCCCATAAGTTGCATTGATAACCAAATATAGTAGAGTCAGATGGTCGTTTCGTGAAACTAGTTGAAGTGTGCGCAACTTGGTTCGAACAACCACAGATATAAAAAAATTCATCTATCCTAGACAGAGACCGTCCTTAGAACTTATTTCAGGCAAAATTTTAGCATCTACTTGCAAAGTATTGTATCGAGAAATGTATGGATACGATAAGGGCAATTGAGTTTTCATAATATTTTTATCGTGATGAAAAATAGTTATGCAAATATAAATGTAAGGAGGCAAGAAATATTAATTTCTCGAGTGTCTTTTGTTTTTAAGGACTCCTTATGTGTGCGTGTTTTGATTTCCACCGGCTGGGAAGCTCACTTGTAAATATCCTCACTCTTTTCCTTTTGGTGCACCTGGACCAATGTTTTCTGTACGGTCTCATGCTTATGTGCTTTTATCTATCTTAATGAAAAATTTGCTTTCTATTTAAAGGAAAAAAAAGAACCCTCCTGAGAAGCAAACTAATTACGTACAGCATTTTCTGTTATTCTATATCCTATGTAATCTTAACTTTTCCGTTGGTTAAGGACCGTGCTTCTAGTCCCTATCTCTTCTTGTAACTACACTTTTTAGGGAAGAGGAGTTTTTTCCCTAATAAAGAAAGCTCTTTTAGAAATTTTATTTTCAGGATATTCACTCTGAAGGCATATTTATTTATTTTCTTTCATTCATGCTACACTGAATCCACAATGAAAGATTAGTTTGCATCAATTTAGAAATTCTTTTTGGGTCGAGAGTTTGTTGTACATACCTTTTATAATGTATCACGAACATTCATTTTTAGTTTTCCCATCCCCCTCGGGGTTAACGCTTGCAAACAGATAGAGAAAATGGAGAAATTGCTAAAGGAATCAGGATTACAGTTGCTTAATCGAGAATTTTGTCGAAAAGTTACCCAAGGTTTCAAGTGAGTTTCATTTGTCTCATTTGTTATAAGACTTTTAATTAACCTTTAAATATGTCTATGATGTATGTATAATATAAAGTTCTCATATTTTGGCATTTCATGTCGATGCAGTCGGTCTTCTGGTCGTGCTGGGAAGCCTGTAATAAAGTGGATGGAGGTTGTCACATTGTTTACTTTTTGCTTATTCTCTTGCTTGTAATATTATTCTACTTCGACCGTTGTATATCTTGCGAATAGGACTTGATAAACATTTTCTTGTGGGCATTTGGAAATCGTTGTGGAGATTCCTGGTGGAGAGAGAGATTCATTGTGGTACAAGATTACATCGAATGTTCAGGTTCACATCTTGATGTTCTAGACCTCTCCCTTAATTTGATGAGTGGGAGTGCCCTTTAACCTTTGGAGTTGGATAAAAGAGCGTATTCATAATAAACGTCTCTAGATTGAAACTCTTGTAGCAACTCTATTCTCGAAACTCAAGCCAATTGGGAAACCCTACTGTAGTTCTTTGATTTGGGATTGGATGATGCCACCTCTCTTTTCCTTGTTGCACATTGGTTTTTGCTTCATTGAAGCTCTATGTTTCCTATCTGAAATATTATTCAGTTCACTAGTTCCTTCACTTGTGGTCCCTTTTGTCCCAAAACGTTGTCATCAAGTTGAACTTCTTGCAGTCTCTCTTGTTGGAGACCTAGGACTAAAACTATGTCTGAAAAAGTTCAATGCTTTGCATTCTATCCCATGGGAGGATCAAATCTGACAACTCTACTCACTGGAACAACCTCTGTAGTGCATTTATTCAATGTGATCCCAAAGATCACAATTATTTAGTTCTTCACTGTCCCTTTTCTCATGACATTTGGTGCAAATTCCTGCAGGTCTTTGTTGTGAGTTCTGCCTTCAATTTTTGTTTAGAGAGCTCTCTTGAGGAAATGCTTAGTAACTTCCTTGTGGAAGAATCATTCTTTGGCTGGGTACTTTGGTCACTGTGGGTATTTGGCTGGAGAAGAATAAAAAGTTTTTTGAAGCTTGATTTTTCAACGGGGTTAGGTATGGAGTCTAGCACAACAGCAAGTCTCCTCTAATTACAACAGTATAGTCTTGTATAGGTCTCCGGAGATTTTGTTTTTTTTTTTTTTTCTTTTTGCTTTTCCCTCTTCCCCATTTCTTCATCGATTTCTTCATCTGGCCATCTTTTGTATTTTCACGTTTGAAAAGAAAAAATGGTTCTGGTGAAAATTTGTCTTCAGACAATGTTACAGGTATACAATTGGCTCCAAAGTAGGCTGCAAGACTTCCCGAAAAATGAAAAGAGGATGTCTGAAATTCCCAAAGCTTGCCCTTCAAATAAGACTCAGGAAAGTTCTCAACGCCCCGAAGGTAACTTGAGCCAAGTATTTGTCTCCATTGTTTTTGAAGGCAAAGTTACTCAGCTGTAGGATAGTTTAATGTTAAAATGACAATTACTTTCTAGTTTCAACTCTAACTGCAACCATCGTACATGTATGCACATACATTAGCTTTGGAGAGATCTGAAATATGAATTCCTCTAGATTCTGTAAGCCTCCTATGAAAAATATTTGTTCTAGAAAGGGCCAAATGGAAAATGTATCCCCATGTTAGTCAGATCGTATGGGAGTGGTTGGGTATATATAAATTGTCAGGGAGGATTTGAGGTAGAGGTGTAGGTAATTTGTCTTTTGGCAAGGTTTGGATGCAGATAGTAGCTAGCCCCTCAAGTTGGTTAGGCATATACCTGTAAGATACATTTTGCACCCTCTTGAGCTCACTTTTAGTAATTCACAGTAACAGTGTTAAGTTTTTAACAGCATATAACTTCACTTTCATTACGTGCATTAGTGCATTAGTGCAATGAAGCTTGTTCTTGGACTTGAGATCTTTTGTCCTCTCTTCTACTGTCATTTTTTAGATTAGATTTCTTGATTGATTGTTTGTTACTGTAGTTATATTGGGCCTATTAGTTAATTGCACGTTCTTCTTTTTCTTTTTTCTTCTTTTCCTTCTCTAGATTTTCTAGTGAGTAGTTGAACCATTTATCGTTGGAATATGAAATTAATCACCATAGGCTGCCCTAGTGTGGTGATCATTCGGGTAAGTGAAGAAAACATAAAGATACTTTAGGAGAATGGGTTCAAGCCCAATGGGACCTCCTACCTAAGATATTAAAATTCTCTGTGTTTCTTGACAACAAAATATGGTAGGATCAAATAGCTGTCTCATAAAATTAGTCAGTGTAAGTCAGCTCTACTAGATCTCACATTCCCAATTAACAAAAATAGCACATTGCGTTGAAATCTCTTTTAACATTTTGTATAAATTTGTGCAGATGTGAGCCTTTTTTCTTTTTTTCTTCTCCTTTTCCACATGGTAATGATCTTTATTTTAAAGCAGGTGATAAGAGCCCAGATTTATCAGAATTGGAATTTGAAGCAAGGTCATCAAAAGATGGTGCATGGTACGTGAAGAAATCACTACCTTCGGTTTTGTTTAGATAGGTGCATCTTTTGGGTGTTCGTCTTTGTATTTTCTCTGATGTTCTTGTATGGATTGCATCCGACTCCAAAGGTAAAGCTAGGGATATCACCCGATATAACAGAGTTATTTAGATGGGATAAGTTAAACATATCTTTGAGTTTCAATGTGCCCAACCCTTTAAAGCAGACAATCTCCTCCTTGACTCAAGCATTTTCTTAAGATTTCTTTTGTTTAGCTCCCTTTTGGCCATGAGTTGGAGCTTTGGGAATAAAGGAATGGGAGCTTCAAGGGAAAATATAGAGGATTGATTGGAAGTGTGGGATTGGCTTAATATATTGTATGTAATCGTCTCTCTCATTATGATGCCTGGTCCTATGCAGAATTTTTGTTCATTAGTATTTGTGTTTCTTATCATTAACAAGCTCTAAATAGGGAAAACAAAAAATAAATTCTCTTTGAAGCAAGAATTGGGAAGTTATGGTACGCATTGAATGTCTTGTTTATGTAACCATTTAATCTTACTGCCAATGTGATAATGATAGACCCCAAATTACCAAGGTTTATACACATTGAACTAGGAAAGAGAAAGTGGGGGAGCTGAGTGATATTGTATGTGAGAAATGGGCGTTTGTATAATCTTTTGGACGTGTGTTTGTTGTGATTTTGTGGGGCGCAGGTGTTTTGGTGAGTTAGAGGTGGGCTAAGCTTTTTTTTGTATTGGGATAGCCTTTTAAGGGTTGGTCTCGGTGAAGGAGAGTATGTTTTGGTCTTGTTGTTTTTGTACTCATATTCTGTGTGTTCTTGAAGAGAGGGAATCTCTCAAATCTCCTTTGGCTGTTGCCATTAATAGTTGATAAATAAATCAAGGTTTATCAGATTACGCAGCAGTGATTTACTATGATATTGTTTCAATTCGTAAGAATGGTCGTTTGTGTATGATTGTTAAGTGCAGATATTGAATCTAATTAGAAATTTCCTTTCGGCATCTGATTGTAAATTATAATGGACTAAAGGTTGAATATGGTTGCTACCTACTTGAAGAAGAGGATTTTACTATGAAACTTTGTGATGTTCAGGTTATTAAGGGGAAGTATAAAAAAGAAAAGAATGATAAATCTATGTTGGTTTTAGGTGAAGCTGTATTTGTGGTTTCTGCTTGTTACCATTTCAAATTTTTGCTGCGGTTCTGATGGCATTCCACTTATATATATTATGCAGGTATGATGTTGCTATGTTCCTTACGCATAGATTTCTTAGGTCAGGCGAAGCTGTGAGTCTTTGAACCATGACATCTTTTTTCTTCTTGTATTCTGATTTATGACACCTTCCATTTTTCACGGAGTATAAGGTTTGTTGAACCAAGTGAGCTCATCGTTCATAAAGGTGCTGCTCTGGGCTTTAGATGTACGAGTACTTTACTGAGGAACACACTCATTAAGTTATACATGCACATATATGCATGCGATACTCGTAGCAGAATATAATTTCATCATAGTTTTCATTTGGTTGTCTGATTGGTTTTGCCAATACATTAAAGGAAGCGCGTGTCAGATTTGTTGGATTCGGAGCCGAGGAAGACGAATGGGTCAACATAAAACAGGCAGTACGGGTACGCTCTGTCCCTCTAGAACATTCAGAGTGTCAAAAGTTGAAGGTTGGGGACAGTGTACTCTGCTTCCAGGTGACTAATTAATAACAAAACCCTTTGGACAACCCGTAGATTGTTCATTTCTCTGTTGTCCATTTCCATCTTAGATATTAAATTTTTCAGGAGAGGAGAGATCAGGCAATCTACTATGATGCACATATTGTGGAAGTCCAGAGGAGAATGCATGACATTAGGGGCTGCAGGTGTCTTTTCTTGGTTCGTTACTATCACGATAGCACCGAGGTAAGTATCACTTTCTCTCGCTCGCTCGCTCGCTCGCTCGTTACATCTTTTGAAGTAGTTCATAACAATCTCATGTACTTGTTCAACGCCCAGGAAAAAGTTCGTTTGAGAAGATTATGTCACAGACCGGCACATCAATTCTAAGCTGGAGATATGAATGGTTTGCCTCAGAAACTACATTGGGTAATGCTAATTTTGTATGTTCTTTCAAAAAGGTGAGGACATGTTCTGGGTAAAAATAATGGGCCTAATTGAGGGAGAATGGTCCATAGCTACTAATGTAAGTTTTGAACATAATATAGTGCATGTTTAGTAGGAGAATTTAATGTTGTATTATAATCAAATCAATCCATTAGTGTTCGTGACAAATCTTGGTAGGGTCCAAAGCCACTGACATTCATTCATATATATACACACATAAATGCCTTGCAAAAATAAGTATTAAAGTGTTTCATAAGCTTAATTAATATTATATGAACATGAAACCCTACGAGTTCCCAAAAGACAGAGAGGGAGACCCTTAATCAACGGATTTGGGTCTGGTCTAATACGTTTAAAAACTTCTAATTTTATATTTGAATAACGTTCAATTCTTCCCCGTCTTTCTTAGTTATCCTATCTTCAAAGTTGCTGTCATTTGAAAGTGCTATCGGTTCATTCATGTGTAAGAGAAAGTACAACAAAGTTTTTTCGGAGTAAAGTTTAAGATTATAAAATAAGAGAAAAAGCATATAGTATAATAATAATACACGGTATATTAATGAAAAGGACCATACACTGTATATTCCATTATATGCTAATTGCTTCTATGTAAAGACAAACCACTTTTTTCTTTTCCCTTCAAACTCCCAAAATTCCCCTTTTTTTAAAAAAAAATAAAATAAAATATTTAAGGATTTGAATTTTCAATTTTTTTAATTTGATATTTTTAATGGTAATGCATGGAGGAGTACTAAAGTTGTAAATAAGTGGAACATGAGTGGCAAATGCGTGCGATTAGGAGACTTAATTTTGAACCTCATCGTTAATAAAGAGAAATCGGAAATTAGGCCCACAAAATCAGAGCCCTTTTTACCTTTTAGCCATTCGTGTTCAAACTTCAAATTCCATTTCTCAAAAGGAAATTCATGCCCCTTTTCGTAATTTCCACCCTTTATCTCCTTCAACAAAGCTTTGACCTGCCCTTATCTCCATTTTCTTAACCCTACATTCACTCTACCATTCCCATGCTTCCACCTTCCATTTATATCCTAAACTATCTTGCCTTGGATGGGTTGAGTTAGCGTGAGGTTTTACTTTTCGAACTTCTCCTCAACGTTTTTTAAAAAATGATTGGTTCCCCTCTAGGGCCCAGTGTCTTCACTCGCACTCGTTTCCCTCTTCAATCGACGTACGACCCCCAATCTACTCCCTTCGGGGCATATTGCTTAGTGTCCACCCCCTTTCAGGGTTTAGTCTCCTCACTAGCACATCGTTCAGTGTCTGGCTCTAATACCATTTGTAACCGCCCAAGCCCATCGTTAATAGATATTATTCTCTTTGAACTTTCTCTTTCGGGTTTTCCCTCAATGTTTTCAAAACGCATTTGTTAGGAAAAATGTTTCTACATCTCCTCTCCAACTAATGACCGGAATAAAGTTCACAACTCAACCCTCTATTTTCCCCTTGAATTGGAGTTGTTTTTTAATTATAATTTTAAAAAAATCATATTATCTACGTTACATTAATAATTAAAATCACATAAAACTTTATTTTTTAATATTTTTTAATCAGCATTATTTTTAATACAAAGTTTTATTGTTATCTTGAACGACATTATGTTATAACAAAAAAAAAAAAATGTTGATTACTTTTTTAGAATAAAGTTTTCATGTAGTTTGACCGTAATAATAGTTTCATTTTTTGAAAAGGAAATATTTTTTAAAAAAATTGGGTGTTATATTATATATGGGTTATTTGAGGACATGAACAGATGAACTAAAGCTTGAAACTGAAACCAGATCGGTCGAATCCAAACCCTAACTGCTGCTGCTGCTACTGGTAATTAATTCATGGGGAAGAGAAGACCCATAAGATTCTTCTTCTTCTTCTTCTTCTTCTTCTTCTTGTTTATGTTGAATCGGCATTCAACTGCTCTGCAACTCCACCGCCATGAAACCCACCTTCTTTTCTCCTTCAAAGCTTCCATTTACACAGACCCATCGCGCTTTCTCTCCGATTGGAATCTTTCTGTTCCCATCTGCCAATGGAATGGCATCAAATGCAACGGCGACAATGCTAGCATCATCGCCGTCGACCTCTCCGGTAACAATCTCACCGGCGTAATTCCCGACTCTGTTTTCCGGCTACCCCACATCCAGTCTCTGGACCTCTCTGACAACCAATTCGTTGGAGAACTCCCTCGGAATATCTTCACCATCGCCTCTTCTTCCCTTCTCCATTTGAATTTCAGCAACAATAACCTCACCGGCAAACTCCCTTTTGGCGGCGTTCATGGTCTTCAAACGTTGGACTTATCCAACAACATGATTTCCGGTTCAATTCCGACAGATATCGGATTGTTCTTTGATCTTCAGTTTCTTGATCTCGGAGGGAATGCTTTAATCTCGGAAATTCCGAATTCCATTGCGAATCTCTCATCGTTGGAGTTCTTGACATTGGCGTCTAATAAACTCACCGGAGAAATCCCGAGGGAATTGGGCGGATTGAAGCGGCTGAAATGGATTTATTTGGGTTTCAATGAATTTTCCGGTGAAATCCCTGAAGAACTCGGCCAATTGGGTTCTTTAAATCATCTTGATCTTGTTTACAACAAGCTAACGGGGAGAATTCCGGAGGCGTTTGGGAATCTCTCTCAACTAGAGTATCTATTTCTCTACCAAAATTGTCTCTCCGGTTCGATTCCTCCTTCAATTTTTAGTTTGGTGAATTTGATATCTCTCGATGTTAGCGATAATTCTCTGTCGGGAGAGATTCCGGAGCTCGTAATTCAATTGAAGAATTTGGAGATTTTGCATCTGTTTCGAAACAATTTCACCGGGAGAATTCCGACAGCTTTGGCTGCTCTGTCTCGGTTGCAGATTCTTCAGTTATGGTCTAATGGATTTTCCGGCGAGATTCCGGCGTTACTTGGAACACAGAACAATCTCACTGTTCTTGATGTTTCAACTAATAATCTTACCGGAAAAATCCCACATGGGCTTTGTGATTCTAAACGCTTATTTAAGCTCATCCTGTTTTCAAACTCGCTAATCGGCGAAATTCCAGAGAGTCTCTGTTTTTGCAGGAGTTTACTGCGTGTTCGGGTTCAAAACAACCGTCTCTCCGGCGAATTATGTCCGGGATTTACGAAATTGCCTCTACTTTACTTTTTGGATATCTCTGGCAACCGATTTTCCGGCAGGATCGACGGCGAGAAATGGGAGTTGCCGGCTCTTCAGATGATGAGTTTAGCGAGGAATAAGTTTTCAGGGGACTTGCCGGAACTGATCGGGAATAATGAAATCGTGAGTTTGGATTTCTCGGCGAATGAATTTTCCGGTTCCGTCCCGGAGAGTATCGGAAGCTTACCGGAGCTAATGAAACTAAATTTGAGCAACAATTATCTCTCCGGTCGAATTCCCGGTGAAATCTCTTCTTGTAAGAAGCTCGTGAGTTTGGATTTAAGTAACAATAAACTCACCGGCGAAATCCCGGCGGTTCTCAGTCGTATTCCGGTTCTCAGCTTCCTCGATTTATCAGAAAACGAACTCTCCGGCCAAATCCCACCGGTTTTAGGCCGAGTTGCATCGCTCGTTCAGATAAATATCTCTCACAATCACTTCCACGGAAGATTGCCGGCCACCGGAGCCTTTTTGGCTATAAACAGCAGCGCCGTCGCCGGGAACAACCTCTGTGGCGGCGACATTAGCAGCAATCTACCCACTTGCGAAAATGGCGTTAAAAAAAGACGCTACAGCCAGCTGTGGTGGATTACGGTCATATTGGCGGCGATAGTGGTGGCGACGGCGGTTTTTGTCAGAATACGCCGTCGTAAGCAGCGGATGGGAGAGAAAAGAGTGCAAAACGAGGAGGGAATTTGGGAGCTGAAATTGTTCGATCCCAGAGCGTCCAAATTCGTCACGGTGGACGCCATTCTGCAATCCGCCGGGAAAGCAAACGAAACGGAGATTCAATTCGTGGTGGAGAAAATTACCGGGAAAATGTTGGTCGGAATTGGGGAGGCGCCGGAATTGGGGAAGCTTAGACATTCTAATATCGTACGGCTGTTGGCGGCGTGTCGGTCGGACAAAACAGGGTATTTGGTACGAGAATCTGTGCAGGGGCGGCGCTTGAGCCAAATTGTTGGGAATTTGAGCTGGGAACGACGTCGTAACATCGCCCTGGGAATTGGCCGGGGGCTGCAATTCTTGCACTCCCACTGTTCTCCCGGTGTAATTGCGGCGAATTTTTCGCCGGAGAAGATCATTGTCGATGAAAAATATGAACCCCGGCTTGTTGTCGGATTGTCCAGCGCCGCCGTTTCTCCGCACTACGCCGCCCCCGGTACGTGTAATTTGAGCTATAATAATCCATGCACATGCACAATCATATGCACGTTGAGCTGAGAAAGCTACTTTTTTTGTGGCAGAGACAAAGGAAAGTGGAGGCATAACGGAGAAAAGCAATGTGTACACATTGGGGCTGGTTCTTATTCAATTACTGACCGGAAAGATGGCCGTCCACCGGCAAGAGGTGGTGGAATGGGCATGGTACTGCTATTCCGATCGTCGTGCCGAGACGTGGGTTGTTGATGGTGCGGTTACTGGCGCCACCGAGCAGGACCAGATGGTGGGGTTTATGAACTTGGCTCTGGACTGTACCGCCGATGACCCCATGGCGAGGCCGTCCTCGGAGGTTGCCTACAAAACCATGCTCTCTCTTTGTCGGACCACTTGCTGTTCTAAACTTTTGTTCACCTAAAACTTGCTGTCCCGGTCATGCATTGTAACGTTTGAGGGCTAAATTTGAATCTTAAATTGATTTCAAAATTAATGAAATGATGAGAAGATATTTATAATAAATTTTCAAGTTCATGTTGTATTATGTTGTTTTGTATCACATTAATCTATGTTCGAAAATTGAGGGACGTTACATTCGTACATATAAGGTGGGTGGGAGACCAAAAATATAGTTCATGACTCGAGCCGTAGACGATGAAAAATCTCTTTTCACTCTACATATTCTTCGTTCCTAACTATTTTTTTGAGTAAAGGACTTTTCCTCTATTAGTCAAGTGGTAAGGTATAGCGTATTCTTTGAAGAAAAATCTCATTGCTAATAGATATTATCCACTTTGACCTGTTACATATTGTCGTTAGCCTCATGGTTTTAAAACGCGTTTGCTATGGAGAAATTTCTACACTCCTATATAGAATGTTTCATTCTTTTCTCCAACTGATGTGAGATCTCACAATCTACCTTTTTGGGGGTCAGCCATCCTCCCTGACACATTGACCGGTGTTTGACTTTGATACCATTTGTAACACCTCAAGCCCACCGTTAGCTGATATTGTCCTCTTCGGGTTTTCCCTTTCGTGTTTCCCCTCAAGGTTTTTAAAACGCGTCTACGAGGGAGAGGTTTCCACACCCTTATAAGGAATGTTTCGTTCCTTTCTCCAATCGATGTGAGATATCACAATCCACCCCTGGTAGTCCAACGTCCTTACTAGCACACCGCTTGATGTTTAGCTCTGGTCCAAGCCTACCACTAGCCGATATTGTCTATTTTGGCCTGTTATGTATTATCGTCAGCCTCATAGTTTTGACAACGCATCTACTAGAGAGAGGTTTTCAGACTCTCATATAAAAAATGTTTTGTTTCCCTCTCCAACCGATTTAGGATCTCACAATTAACCTCCCATTGGGGACCTGCGTCCTCGTTTGCACTTGTTCGCCTCTCCAATCAATATCATTCTCCTCTCCAATCGATGTGGATCTCACAATCCACATTTAAGCAAAAGGTCCAAATGACACGTAACCAGAATAGGTACGTCAGACAATGGAATTTTTTTTCCACACGCACACACAGGCTAAATGAACACCACACGTTTGAATGAAACTTATGGTCATGGTTTTATATTAATGAAAATGAATGGTTGTGGAAAAACTAAACTTAGGAGCTAACCTACATATTCAAATAATTCATTAGTGTTAATGATATGATTAATTAACCTTAAAAAAAGCAGTGATTAGTATGCACATAAACAACCCAGAGAAGGTGTTGGGAGAGGGAAGTTTAAGAGGGACAGCATGCGGGACATATTTGGTGAGAATTAGAGAGAATTGTACGTAAAACAATGTCCCTAAAACAAACACAAAATAATGAGTTAGCAGAAAATTAGGAATAAGAGGTTTAAAACATTCGATTTGCAGTAGTGACAGTAACGACCACATAATTGTCCACCATGATTCTGTTAGGGTTTGGGTTTGGGTTTGGATCATCTTTAAATCTTGTCTCACTGTCGGCGCTTTGGGATGAGGTAAATCAATCCTCCGACAGCGACAACACCGACACACACAGCCTAAAAGCCTTTCCACACTCTACTAAAGGTGATGCCTTTTTATCTTCCCATTTCAAAACCCTCTGTGGGTGTGTGTGTGTGTGTGTGTGTGTTTCTTTAGCACAAAAATGGTGAAAGGGTTTGAATTTGATCCACCCACTTTGGTCAATTTCGTCTGCTTAACTTATAATTACGTTCTACACCATGCTCAACATTTCTTTATTCCCATATTGTTCATAATTGATGAACATAATCTAAGGAAACTATATGGTGTTTTGGGGAGAAATTAATGATGTTTTTTTATATCAGATCACTTAGGGTTAGATCTTATTATTATTATTATTTCATGTTAGTGTACAACGAGTGGGGCTTTCAATGTATGGATATATAAGGAAGAGACACTATCTATGTTGATACGAGTTCGAACTTGAGAATTTATGTTCAAAGTGGACAATATCGTACCATTGTGGAGGTTTGTTGTTCTAACAAATGTTATCAAAGTCATGTCAATAGAATTCTTAGATGTCGAACAAAGAAGTTGTGAGCATCAAAAGTGTAGTCGTGGTGAATATCCATAGTATAGCTCTATTGGTAGACACCAAAGGACTTCGAGTTGGTGTCAACGAGGATGCTGGGTCTCAAAGGTAAGTGGATTCTAAGATCCCACATTGGTTGGAGAGAGAAACGGAACGAAGCATTCCTTGTAAGAGTGTGGAAACCTCTCCCTAGCATAGGCGTTTTAAAATCTTGAGGGGAAAGCCCAAAGAGGATAATATATGTTAGTAGTAGGCTTGGGTTGTTACAAATGGTATTAGAGCCAAACATTGAGTAATGTGTCAGCAAGGACGTTGGGCCCCCAAGGGGGGTGGATTGTGAGATCTCACATTGGTTAGAAAGGGGAACGAAACGAAGTATTCTTTACAAGGGTGTGGAAATCTCTCCCTAGCATACATGTTTTAAAACCTTGAGGGAAAACCCAAAGAGGACAATATCTGTTAGTAGTGGGCTTGAGTTGTTACAAATGGTATTAGAGCTAGACACCGGGCGATGTATCAGCAAGGATGTTGGGTGTCCTAGGGGGGTGGATTGTGAGATCTCACATTGGTTAGAGAGGGGAACGAAACGAAGCATTCCTTACAAGGGTGTGGAAACCTCTTCCTAACAAATGCGTTTTAAGACATGAAGAGAAAACCCATAAGAGAAAATCCAAAAAGGACAATATTTGCTAGCGTTGAGCTTATATTGTCACACATATATTAATCTGAAACACACCAAAACCAAAATGATCCTATCATCACATTGGTGCATATGCTAATCTTTCAAGTTCATTAAACTAAGAACACTAAAAAGAAGGTTAAGAAACCAATTTGATAAGGTGAAAAGGAAGCAAAGATCATGAGATTTGCAAAAGGGAGATGTGGTTTGTTTGCAGGAAAGCGCAGCCACAAAGGCATTGGCATAGAGGGCATGATGATGTTCTTCTAGCTGCTTAGGACTCTGTGTTACTTTTTCAACTTTTTGGTGGGTTATGATTATGATTATTATGAGAAGGTGATATTCACATACATGGAAGATTCGGCCACAAAAGAGTATAAACACAAACATCTAAAATAGCTGACATTGTGAGGAGCAAACACAGCTAGATTTTGGTGGCAGAATGCATATGATATCATATGTCAAGTGGGTTTCATCTTAAAAGCCTCAAAAACAAACTGATACCTCCAATCATACTCCTTGGAGACCATGAAAAAGCCTCTTTCTTTGCCTTTCTTCCTCTTCTTACCCTCTTTCTTCTTCAAACTCATTATATTCAAACCCATCAATGGCTTCAGATAGATCAAAACATTCTCTTCTCTTCTGTTCTTTTGGTTTTTCTTTGCAGATTTAGACTGTTTTTGTTTGCTTTCTTTGTATATATGGCTGCCTTTTGAACCCGTTACGTATCGTTGTCAGCCTCACGGTGTTAAGATGCGTATGTTAGGTAAAGGTTTTCATATTCTTATAAAGAATGTTTTGTTCCCCTCTCCAACCAATGTAGGATCTCACATTTAGTGTGAAGTATGGTTTTGACTCACTCACTAAAATGATAAACAGTGAGTATTGTACCTGTGTTATAAAGTAACAATACACCTTTTGTAACATCTCAAGCCCACGGCTAGTAGATATAGTTTTCTTTGGGTTTTCTAAGTTTGAAACGCATTCGTTGGGGAGAGGTTTCCACACCCTTTTAAGAATTGTTTCGTTTTCATTTCTAACCGATGTGGGATCTCACAATCCACTTCCCTTGACGGCCTAACATTCTCACTGGCACACTGCGTGATGTCTAGCTTTGATACCATTTGTAACAGTTCAAGTCCACCGCTAGCAGATACTGTTTTCTTTAGGCTTTCCCTTACGGGCTTCCCCAGACACATTCATTAGGGAGAGGTTTCAACACCCTTATAAAGAATGTTTCGTTCCCCTCTCCAACCAATGTGGAATCTCACAGCTTTACACAACACTAACAATCTTGAAATAGGAACCAAGACACGCAACATCGATATTTAGAACATTGATCTTAATGCTCTAATTCTATGTGCTAATAGCCATTCCTATCAGTTTGTTAATGTGCTGCTATTCAATCCATGGTCTATAGTGAAAAAGATAAACATGAATGGGCATAGTGATGGAGGGAAGTGGGTGGGTGGGTGGGTGGGTGGGTGAGAGAATTTCACTGACCCACTTCAGAAAGAATAGCTTTAGAGGGAAGAAGAGACATCAAAGTCCAAATAAGAATCAATGATAGATTGGGTGAGTGCTGCATTCAAACATCTCTTCAGCCCCATCGCCATTATCTTGTCTTGACAACAGGGCCTTATAGAAATGGGAGCAAACTGAGCTGAAAGAGACTTTCTTCTTCCAAAATTCAAAACAGAAAAAGAAGCTCTGTGTCATCAACTTACAGCCCAAATGCTTTGTGTGTCAGCAAATGACTGGTCAGCTGAAAGAATATCAAATTTCCTTTCCTTTGTCAATGAAATTTTGGGGTCCATGTCAAGAGATTAGAAGGGTAGAGAAATGGATAGCCATGAAAAGAAGTTAAGGTCTGATCTTTGACATTAAGGTGGGAAAAAGTGCAGAAGAAACGAGGCAAATGACCTTCCATGTCTTCTTATGCTCCCCACCAGATTCCATAAAGGAAAAGAAAGGGATAAGCACAGTTCTGATTTCAAATGAAATATCAGTTGAACTCAGGAAAGCAGAGACAAAAGTGGAGAGGTGAAGAAGTTTGCTTTTTTTACTACCCTAAACAAAGGCTTTCTTTAACACCTTACTCTAGTCTTATTAACGTGAGATCCCACGTCAGTTGAAGAGGAGAACGAAACATTGTTTATAAGAGTGTGGAAACCTCTCCCTAGCAAACACGTTTTAAAACTATGGGGGGAGCTCAAAAGAGAAAGCTCAAAGCGGACAATATCTGCTAGTAGTAGGCTTGGGCTGTTACAAATGATATTAGAACCAGACTCCGGGCGATGTGTCA